TCCTCAGGGGACTGATTGATGGAAATCAGTCTTTAGTAATTTAAGAAAAACTTTTCTGAATGGGTCTTAGAATCAAGAAAGCAAAACAGGTATATATTTCATGTGTAGCTACAAAAAAAATATAAATATATATAAATTAATTCACCTTGAAAGGAATTTAATCATTCTTAGCATTTTAATGGATTGTATATCACGTGATTATTTCCCCTCTTTCCAAACACACACACACACTCTTTTATGAACACTTGTCAAGTTTCAGATGTGACCTGCACCCCAGTCTAACTGAAGGCTACTTGTTAGTTTTGAGGATGATACATTTCGTTCTACTTCTCTGCATAATTTTTTAAATTGGTGAAAACCTAAAGGAATATTTTTTTTGTCTTATCAAAAATGACTGACTTCAAAGAAAATTGTTTCATCCCAGTTTGTGACTCGTCATCGGCACTCACCCATAATCCCACCTTTAGGGATCGAACGCAGGAGCTTCTGGTTACAAGGTGAGTTCATTGAAAGATTAACTATTTTGTGTTTGAGGACTCCCCGATAATATCGGCTAACAGTCGTACTATATATCGCAAAATGGCTGAAGGTAGAATTCATAAGCCATGTCCGTCTAGAGGGTAATCGAGCTGGCCACATAACCTGAAGTTCCTGTGTTCGATCCCTAGTAGCGGGATCAAGAGTGAGTACTGCTCGAGAAGAGTCTTAAACCAGGACGAAACAGTTGTCCAATACTCCGTGCTAGTTCTCAATGGTTCCCTAACTGATGCCAACCAGTGATTAAACTGAAAACCAATCAAATCCTACAAAGTAACACATGGAAACTGACTCATTTATACCGTCAATTTCTTATTCGAATATTTTTGTTTTTCAAAAAGAACAATATCATGTTTAAATCACAATAAGTGTCCATGATATATATAGACAAATAATTGTTATCGGAGATTTTTCTACTGACAAATAGTCAACAATAAATAAATCAGGTGGAAAATTAAAACTTCAGAGCAAAAACAAAAAAAAAAAACAGTAAGTTTAAACTAGAAATATCTCCAACTGTCTTTTATTTAAGTGAAACAAAAAAGAATTATTATTATTACTAATAATCAGGTGGCCTGCTTCAAAACTTGGGCTACCAAAAACCCCTTCTATTATATTGCATTACATAATTTCTCTTGTTCCTTCGTTCGTCTTAATCTATTAAAATCTGACCTCTAATGGTGTTTTCCACTCTCAAGAGTATTTTAACTGCTTACAACCTGCTGATACGCATATTTCCAATAAACTTAAGAAAACGCAAAATTGTGAATGTACAAACTGTCACTGTCTGAGAAATAAAACGAATTATCTGAATAGTCTTCAATTATTCAGCTATTGTTAATATCTCCATGGGTCAAAAACGTACTCCCACACCTCCTGATAATTGGAATTCAACCAAGTGTCGTGCATTTCTCGAAAGAGGTAAAGAAGAAATATCATTAAGGTGGATTGGTTTACGCTTCAGGTCAGAAGACAGCAATGTGTCACGCGATCTACTATCAATTACTGTTTTACTTGAAGATTGTTGACAAAGAGGAACTATTATGCAATAAATTCCTCCGGAAATTCTGTACTTTCATATGCTCATTGTATAATTACTGTTCAGAATAAAGTTATTAATAATATTGTCATTATCAATCAACTGATTGGTTTCTAAGTTAACTTCCCTTCATAATGTTGAAATTAGACATCACCAAGAGTAACATTCAGACATTTGGCACCGAGACCAAGGTATTCAAAGTTTAAGAATCAACGCGTTACACCATTAAGTCAGTCACTGACTAGACTAATTTATTCATGAGAAAAATCATCACTGATCGATTTCAACAATGAACACTGCTCACTTATTATCGAGGCTATAAAATCACTAAAAATAGAGAGGAGTTGATCTCAAAACTAGGATTCACCAGCACATTTCATACAATCTGATCACACATCACACTTGTCATTTCAATTTATATGAATAATTAAAAAATGACGGGTAAATTATTAGGGAATTTAAAAGTAGGGAGCAGAATAATTAACAATAGTCTTGGTAATATGTAAATGGTGAATACTAAAGTAAGCTAAACGTAATAATAAAACATTTTTATCAATAAACATCAAAAAAGACCAAAGTAGTGAACAGTCACGGTTTAACATAAGTCACTCACTATGTTGGATAGATAGCTGACAACAGACCATCCCCTCACATTGACATCTGCTAACCGATCAATGAACTAAAGGATATCTCATCAACTGGAAATCACAAAAACACGTCATTCTACAAACGTATACATTGTACAAGTGATTACGTCACATCCAATTAACATATGTGTGTGTAAGTGGATGCATATGATTCACAGGATGGTAGCGGAAAGTAAACAAAAATTGCTGGATAAACAGTCCTGTCCCACAACCTCAATAAACACAGATGTTCCACCACACCCTTAGTCTATACAAGCATCTTATTCATTTGAATCAAACGACTAACAACAGAATTCAATAAATTCTCTTCATCACTTCACAGTTCAAATAATAACACCAACCTCCTTCAACCTCTGAGCTATCTATATCTTCCACCAATCTAAATACATCGAATTCACTTCATTTCATGTTGTCTTAATCATGGCCACGTCTGTGATACCCATTCTACACTCACACACACATACACACATTTTCAGACAGCTTCTAATCACGTGTATCAATCTCAGTGTACACTCATGAACATAAGTAATTCTGTTTCAACACACTGATAGCAATTTCCTTTGAAGGAAATGAAGGAAGAACATTGTGGAGTATTTCAGAATGCTCCAGATCTAAACAGTACTGCTTCACACTGTAATGTTATCGTTTATTATATTACCTGTAGATTCTGCACAAGAAGGTGTAAATACCTTACAATGAAAAAAACACGCTGAATATTCCGTGTTGTGTACAAACGCATTTTTCAAAATACAGCCATTATAATAATAATTATTATTATAATTATAATTGTCATTATTAAATGATATACATATATATTACTACTATTATTTTCATAAATGCCTGGTATATGGCGGTAATATTTTGACGTAGAATATGATTATATCCAAAAGCTGACAGGGCCGAATATTTTAAATATACTGAGTTGATAGTTATTCCTAACACTATCCTTCCCCTCCTCACCCCACTCCGACACGACTCTACCATGTGTGTGTGGGGTGCGAAAACAATTTATTGCTACGCTTTGCCTATCTTTTTTATCATTTTCTGATTACATTACAAAGAACAGTGTCAGCTATTACCCCCCTTACTATTGAATTCCCTACCACTTTTCACATTTTCATTTTCATATAATTTGAATTGAAAAGCACAATGTGTAATCAATCAAATTGCTTCAAATACTTTGTACAATTGCATCACAATTTTCACATGAACTCCGCCTCGTCATAACTCTACTCAAAATAAGTATTTTGACAAATCAACCAATCAATTTATAACATATTGTATCATCAATTCGACCGTTAAAAGAAACAACATCGAAGTATTTCAATGCCTAGAAAAGCTTTCACTAAAGCACCAACATATTTACACGGGATTAATAGAAATCTGGTCGGCTGAGTATCATTCAGAATAATAATAGTAATCTAACATCAGAGATTATTGCTTCAGTAAATTTAATGTAGAAATATAGTCTCGGAGAATTGCACAATTATGAGTTAAACAAATGTAGGAATGATGTGAACAGCGATAAAACTCTTTTATTGCCTTAATCCCTGATTTAAAACTATGGTAAGAAACTAACGAAAAATATCCTTCCACATTATTCTCACACGGCTTCTTTTTAAAAATCAACTCAATATCTATAAAACATAACAATTGAGCAAAGAATATCCTTTTCGATAGTTTCCTCTTCTGGTTCTACAATTATATATATATATATATGCAATATTCGAGATTAGTAGTCAGTGACAATATTAGGATATTCTTTGCTCAATTATTTTGTGTTTTATAGATATCTGAATGAATATTTTCGATAAACTCAATATTTGTAGAACCTTAAACGTTGATAAATTAAGGTATTTCTAAGTGCTGATTTTCAGGGATTTCATTTGTTTCAAGTCCAGTCAAGAATTGACATCAGTTAGAGAAACAGTGGAAAGCCAGCAGGGAGTACTTGATAGCTGTTTCGTCCTAGTTTGGGACTTTTCAACAGCGCTCGCCAATAACATTGGCTAGTGGTCACACTAAACTCATGAATCCGTAAAAGTCAGAATTCATGAACCATCATATCGCATCTCATTGGTTGAATTGTCTACAAGTTTTCTTTGTAACCAAAAAGTCCTCGGTTCGAACCCCAGTGGGTGTGTAGTATTGAAGAGTCTCAAACTAGATGGACGAAACGGCTATCCAGTACTCCCTGCTTGTTTCCAATGATTCTTTAACTGATGTCATCTCGTGAGTGAACGTAATTCAAGTTTCTTCATGAACTAGCACACCAGTTAGAGAACCACTGAGACCGTGAGGGGTACTGGACAGCTGGGTGACACTACAAATCTGTAAATTGTCAAATATTAGAATTCATGGGCTACTGGATTCTGTCTCAATGTCTATCTTAATGGTTAACGAGCTCACCTCAATCTCATAACTGAGTCCTAAACTTTGAGGTACTTCCTGACTTTCAATGGTTCTCTAACAGGTATCAATTTGTGATCAAACTTCAGACTGATATCATTTACTAATCAATTGTAGATAGGTGTGCTCATTTCAGACGCTGTTTTAAAAAACAAAACAATACATGATCATAGAACAAAAATAGTGTTTAAAGCAAATAAAGTTTAGTTATCAGCTTTCTACATTGATTGCTTCATTCATCATAATTATCGATTGAAATTTCGAAAAAAATAACACGACAAAATATTGAATATCGTTCAAAACATAAAAACAAACAAATGACGCACATGATATGAACAGCAAATTTGCGAAAACCAGTAACTACTCACCGAATAATGAACATGTTGCTTTACATACAGTTTTATTGATCGATTATTAATGATTTGATATAATTTTCTTTCCTGATATATAAATCCACAAAACAATTTTTAAATATAGTTGTTGAACATATCTTGTTTTTGTCCAAAGGAGATTGAGTAACATCCAAATATCAGTTGATTGTATAAGTGGAACATAGGTGTAGACAGAGTAGTAACTGTGATGGCATAGGATTTTCATACATGTTTAGAGTATTTCTCACTCTCTTTGTTGCCGATGGTGGTGATGATGATGACAGAGTATTTGCAGGTGTCGAGTCACATGAGCCTAATGTCAGGGGACTACTACTACTAATACCACTACTACTGCTTCTAGTATACGACAATATTTTGAATGTAAAACGGATGATAAATACGAGTTATTTATTGGTCAATTAGATTTATTTAGGAAAATGCTTATAATCTCCGAGATGTTGAATTTTTCGGCGAATGATACGAAGGGGAAGAGAAGAAATGGTATGTAGTAGTAGTAGTAGTAGTAGCAGTTGAATTTAGTTAGGGTGTATATCTCTCCTCTCTCATACACTTGTTGTTGCTCAGATTATTATTAGTATTATTATTATTATCGTTTATCCCCCTTTGTTGTTGTTTTCCTATGATTTGTTTATTGCAGAGTAAAATGATGGTAATCCAATTGTAAGGAATTTAACTCTTGTGATAGTCATTATCATTAATATTTCATTATTTATTTTTTGGGGTAACAGTAATGCGTTTAGTCTGGTTGAATGAATAACATTTTTTAAAACTTTCTTATGCCTTTCTGTTAGCGAAATGCTGTCTACTCTCTCGTGTAGATGGCTGAACCAATCAAATTATTTGTAGCAATTGAAACGGCTAACTGGCCTTAAAGCTGATTGGTTGTGGAAAAAATGGCTGTAAACACCATTGTCTGAAGTGAAAAACGAAGACTTTAAATTTGATAGGCTAATTAATTCTAAATTGAATGACCTAGCTATAGGAATTTGTTGCTTTAATCCTGATTTAACCTGAGAGGTGACAGGATATTTGTGAACTCATCCATGAATGGGAATGTTGTTGGTGTTTGAAAATGTACTAGTAATAAAAAAGGGGAGAGATTGCGCTTAAGCACTAATACATATACATTTATTTTTATTTTTGGTCCATCCGGTTTGGCCGATGCACATTGACAGGTGTTTGGGCTTTTAATATCACGAATTGGTAGAAGTTGGAATTCACGGGCCATTGGATCGGATCCCAGTGACTATATGGTGGACGAGCTAACCTGGTTACCGGAAGGTCCTGGGTTCGAACCCCAGAGGCTGATTAATACTGGACAGCGCCAAACTAGGAGAAGAGAGCTGTCCAGTACTCCCTGTTGGTTTTCAGTGGTTCTCTGACTGGTATCAATCCGTGATCAAAATCTTGCGATAAATTAAATCCCTACAGATTAACTCTTGAAAATAATATCAGTTTGTCAAGGTCTAAGGTACAAGCATTCAGCTTTATAATTGTGTGGAAGTCGAGTGAAAGGATATTTTTGGTTTTCACTATAATTTGAAATCATCATAAATGAATGTAATAAAAGAGTTGTCTGAGTTTTAGTTCTCAAAACCTTTTATCACCGTCATTCCTATATGTTTAACTCATAATTGTGCAATTTGTCTAGACTATATTTCTGCTGAAGTAATAGTCTCTGATGTCAGATTATCATTATTATTATTCTGAATGATACTCAGCCGACCGGATTTCTTTTAATCCCGTGTAAATATGTTGGTGCTTTAGTGAAAGCTCTTCTTGGCATTGAGATACTTCGATGTTGTTTCTTTTAACGATCGAATTGATAATACAATATGTTATAAATTGATTGGTTGATTTGTCAAAATACTTATTTTGAGTAGAGTTATGACGAGGCGGAGTTCATGTGAAAAATGTGATGCAATTGTGTAATATATTTCAAAAAGTCTGAGTGACTACACATGGTGCTTGTCAATTCAATTTATATGAAAATGACAATATGAAGAGTAGTTGGGGATTCCAATGTCAGGAGGGTGATCGTTGATGCTACTCTTTGTAATCTATTCAGGAAATGATAAACAAGATAGGTTAAGCGTGAGAATAAATTGTCTTCGCACCTATACACACATGGTAGAGTTGTGTCAGGGTGGGGTGAGGAGGGGAAGGATAGTGTTAGGAATAACTATCAACTCAGTAATTCCATTATGGACAAAATTTATTTTGATAAAATCACACACAGTTATACAGCAATATTCACTGATGATCAACTTTCGAGCACAATTTATTACTGCTCATTATCATACCAAGGCGATACTCACATAACTTTCTTGCTTCGTTTATGTACATGAGTAAAAACTGACTAGATATTTGAATGAAGTCAATATGAGACTTGTGCGAAAGAGAATGAGAGGTAAAGTACATTCAGAAATAATATTAATGTTATCAATAAATAAAATACAATGGGAAATAAGACGAGTGTTGTTAGTCAATCTCCTATGGAAGTCTACACCCAACACATGTAATATAAGTGATTCAACGCAAATAATACCTGAGATATGGAAGATATTATTGCCATCAGTCAAATCAGAGGATAATAAATAATGTTAAAATGTATTTGAATTCACATTAAATATTTTAACAAATTATTTATTTATTTTACTATGAAAACATCTTATTTCCCATCTTATGGACTGCTAACACTCGTCTAATTTTCCATCCTATTGTATTTTATTGCTATACTAATTTCGTATCCGAATATATTTTATCTTCCCCTCTGATTCACGGAAATCTTATATTGGTTTTTATAAATGTCTAGTCATTTTTTTGCTCATGTATATAAATGAAGCAAGAAAGTACCTTGCTAGGGTTATGAGCAGCAATAAATTGTGCTCAAAAGATGGTCATCACTAAGTGTTACTGTACAACACTGTGTGATACCATCAAAATAAATTTTACCCATAATGGAATTATACTCTACTACAGTGCCCAAGTGTTATTCTTATATGAATATAAACTCAGTATATTGAAATATTCGACCATGTCAGATTTTGGATAAAATCTTGGCCTTAACTCTGTGTAATCACATTCTACATGAAAATTTGACCGCCATTTACCAGTAGTGGTGAAAACAGTATTAATAATGCATTTTTTATTTAGTAATATTAATAATAATAATGGTTGTATTTTGAAAAATGTGCTTGTACACAGTACAAAATATTCAGCGTGTTTTTTCATTGCAAGGTATTTACACCTTCTTGTACAGAACCTACAGGTAATATAATAAACGATAACATGACCATGTGAAGCTTTACTGTTTAGATCTGGAGCTTTCTTAAATACTCACCAATGTTCTTCCTTGATTTTCTTCAAGAGAAATTCGTATCAGTGTGTCAAACAGAGTTGCTGATGCTCGTGAGTGTACACTGAGATTGATACACGTGATTACACGTGATTAGAAGCTGTCTGAAAATGTGTGTGAGTGTAGAGTGAGTCTAGGGTGAGTTTCATAGACGTGGAGATGATTAAGACAACATGAAATGAAGTGAATGTGATGTATTTAGATTGGTGGAAAATATGGATAGCCCAGAGGTTGAAGGAGGTTGGTGTTATTATTTGAACTGTGAAGTGGTGAAGAGAATTTATTGAATGCAGTTGTTAGTCGTATGTGCGTCGGTGGCACAGTGGTTAGGACTCTCGCCGACCATTCACATGGTCCGGGGTTCGATACCCTGTCGACGCACACCTGATATCTATGGTCGGCCTACAAAATTTGGGCTACCGATATCCATGCTGGAAATTCCATGCTTGTACTGAAAATACAGTGTGGTATCAAGCTGTAATAAAAAATAAATAAATGAATAATATGCTTTGATATAGACGAGGCTTGTGGTGGAACATCTGTGTTCATTGAGGTTGTGGGACAGGACTGTTTATCAAGCAATCTGTGTTCACGTTCCGACACCATTCTGTGAATCGTATGTGTCCACTGATACACGCACGTATGTGTAAATCGGATGCGATGTAATCACTTGCCTAGAGGAGACGTCTGTAGTAGAGAGTGTTGTTGTGATTTCCAACTGATGAGATACCCTTCAGTCGATTGATCGATTCACAGGTGTTTATCTGAGGAGATGATCTGTTGTCACCTGGCTATCCAAAACAGTCAGTGATTTATGTTAAACGGAGATTGTACACGACTTTGGCCTTTTTGATAGTTATTGGACTGGAGGCATAGTAAGCTGCTAACCATTCGTGAAAATAATCAGTACCCCATCTCAACCATACGTGTGAGAAAAATGTTTTGCTATCCTGCCTAACTAATTTTGGTATTGTCCATTTGATTATGTATTATGAAGACTGATGTCAGTTGTTCTGCTGCGTATTTTTAAATTCCCTAATTATGCGTCGGTGGCACAGTGGTCAGGACTCTCGCCGACCATGCACATGGTCCGGGGTTCGATCCCTTGCCAACGCACACCCGATATCTATGGTTGGACTGCAGAATTTGGGCTACTGATATCCATGCTGAAAATTCCATACCTGTACCAAAAATACGGTGTGGAATCAAGCTGTAATCAAAATAAAAAAATAATAATAAAAAAATAATTTACCCGTTAGTTTTTAATTATTCATATAAATTGAAATGACAAGTGTGATGTGTGATCAGATTGTATGAAATGTGCTGGTGCATTCTAGTTTTGAGATCAACTCCTCTCTAATTTCAGTGATTTTATGGCCTCGATAATAAGTGAGAAGTGGTCATTGTTGAAATCGACCAGTGATGAATTTTGTGATCTGTGAACCAGTAGACACCATGAAATGTAAGAAGAACCATCTGTTGTCTAACGCAGTCAGTGACTGACTTAATGGTGCAACGTGTTGATTCTTAAACTTTGAATACCTTGACCTCGGTGCCAAATGTCTGAATGTTACTCTTGCTGATGTCTAATTTCAACATTATGAAGGGAAGTTAACTTAGAAACCAATCAGT